CAAGCTAGGGAGTGGGCCCTTCAGCGAGATCGTCTTGTCTGCCCCTGACGGTGAGAGACCTCTGCCCTGAGAGCAGCTGACAGGGTGGGAAAGGGCTGGTAGGGAAAACCCAGATGTGGGACGAGCTGGGTGGGAGGGGTCAGAGGTGCTGGGCAGCTTGGGGTCCACAGGTGTTTGTGGAACAAGATTCAGATTCGTCTTTAGGGGCCCTGGGAGAATGGTTGGGTACGGAGGTGGGGGCAGGGGTGGTGGTGAGAGAGGGGTTGGAGGGCTGGCATGTGGGGGAATGGTCAGGGGACAGGGGAAGGGCACTGGGAGCCCTATCTCCATCATGCCTATCTGTCCTGTTCAGGGCTTCCCACCACACCAGCTGCCCCCAGGCTTCCGCCGACTGAGATGCCACCTCCCCTGTCACCTCCCCGAGGCCTGGTGGCAGTGAGGACACCCCGGGGGGTGCTCCTGCACTGGGATCCCCCGGAACTGGTCCCTGAGACGCTGGACGGCTATGTCCTGGAGGGACGGCAAGGCTCCCAGGGCTGGGAGGTGCTAGACCGGGCCGTGGCAGGCACGGAAATGCAGCTTCTGGTGCCAGGACTCATCAAGGTGTGTGGGGGAGGCAGGCACAGGGAGCTTCCTCCTCTCGGCCGTCCAGGCCCCAGCTCCAGCCCCCAAACCTCAGCCTCCCACCCTAACCTCCCAACTGCAGTCTTTCTGAATGGGGCTGGGGTGGGCGGCGCTGGCCCCTGACCCCCTTCCTGGACCCCCACCCCCAGGACGTTCTGTACGAGTTCCGCCTTGTGGCCCTCGCGGGTAGCTATGTCAGCGATCCCAGCAACACGGCCAACGTCTCCACTTCCGGTGAGAACCGGGCGGGAGGGCAGAGCGCTGGGCACGGGGGGGGGGCCTCCGAGCCCACTGTCGCGGGCACCGACCCCCTACCCCCCTCGTGGCCCCTCGCCCAGGCCTGGAGGTCTACCCCTCGCGCACACAGCTGCCCGGCCTCCTGCCCCAGCCGGTCCTGGCCGGCGTGGTGGGCGGGGTCTGCTTCCTGGGCGTGGCTGTCCTCGTGAGCATCCTGGCCGCCTGCCTGACCAACCGGCGCAGGGCAGCCCGCCGCCGCCGCAAGCGCCTCCGCCAAGGTAGGCCCCTGAGGCCGCGCCCACGGCAGGGCCCCGCCCCCCCTAGACCCCGCCCGCCGGGGGGGTGGAAGGCCCCACCCCCAAGCCCCTCCGCGCGCGGCCAGGTGCGTCCTGTCCGCCGGCACCGTCTCGGGGCGGGAGGGCTTGCTAGCAGGCGATGGCTGAGCCTCAGCGTCTGGGGCCCTGGAGGGCCTGAGTTTTGCCGGTGTCCTCTCTGGTTCTCCTGCCCGAACAGATGCGCCCCTTATCTTCTCTCCGCCCGGGAAGTCAGCTCCACAGTAAGTCCCTCCACCTGCCCTCTGCGCCCACTATCTCGGCTTCGGTGGTGGTGCCTTGGGGTGGGCTGGGAGGGGCGGAACAGAAGTGAGGACGAGGTGAGGGTGGGAGTGCAGAGGCCCCAGCTTGGGGCCTGTCCACTGTTGCCTCTCCCTTTCCTCCACCTCTCCACCACGTGAGTCCTTGTCTCTGGTACCCTCCCTAGCTCTGCTCTGTTGTGCAGCAAATGTCTCAAGGCCTGATGCTGGTTCCTGGGAGGGGGACTGGCCCCCTGCCACAGAGGCTGATCCCCTGTCCTTCCCCAGCTCCGCTCCGGGCTCGGGCAGCCCCGATAGTGTGGCGAAGCTGAAGCTCCAGGGTTCCTCAGTCCCCAGCCTGCGCCAGAGTCTGCTCTGGGGGGAGCCTGCTGGCCCCCCCAGCCCCACTCGGGATCCTCTGCCTAGTCGGGGGCCCTTACCCCTGGAGCCCATTTGCCGGGGACCGGATGGCCGCTTTGTGATGGGACCCAACGTGGGGAGCCCCCAAGAAAGGTCAGGCTCTGAGCGAGCTGAACCTCGGACCCCGGCCCAGCACCAGGCCAGGTCCTATGACTGCAGCAGCAGCCCCAGTGGGATGCCCCAGCCCCTCTGCATTGCAGACATCAGCCCTGTGGGGCCCCCTCCCGCAGCCCCACCTAGTCCTCTGCCTGGGCCAGGACCTTTGCTCCAGTACCTGAGCCTGCCCTTCTTCCGGGAGATGAATGTGGATGGGGACTGGCCCCCTTTTGAGGAGCCTGCTCCTGCTCCACCCCCAGATTACATGGATACCCGGCCCTGCCCCACCTCCTCTCTCCTTCACCCCCTGGACTCCGACACGGTGTCCCCCAGGGCAGCGCTTCCTGGGGCTGTGATGGGGGCCAGGGCCAACCCAGAGCCCCTGTACACAGCACTGGCTGACTGGACGCTGAGGGACCGGCTGCTGCCAAGCCTTCTCCCTGCCGCCCCTCGGGGCAGCCTCACCAGCCAGAGCAGCGGGCGGGGCAGTGCCTCGTTCCTTCGGCCCCCCTCTACGGCCCCCTCTGCAGGAGGCAGCTACCTCAGCCCTGCTCCGGGAGACACCAGCAGCTGGGCCAGTGGCCCTGAGAGGTGGCCCCGGAGGGAGCATGTGGTGACAGTCAGCAAGAGGTGAGGACAGTCCCTGCTCATCCCTGCCCGGGCTCCAGTTTCTGCCCAGACTTCCCCTGATGCCCTGTGCCTTCCGGGCTCCACCCCCACCCTGGGACCAGGAGAACTTGTCTCCTGTTAGAAGCTTCTGCTGAGGTCCAGGGATCTTCAGGGGACTTACGGCCCCACCTGAGCTTGGGGACTCTGGGCTGGGGCTTTTTTGGTCACCTTCAGTTCCTCCACCCAATACGGGACATTTGTCCCTTTTAACAGGAGGAACACGTCTGTGGATGAGAACTACGAGTGGGACTCCGAGTTCCCCGGGGACGTGGAATTGCTGGAGACTCTGCACCTGGGCTTGGCTGGCCCTCGCACCCGACCTGAAGCTGAGCCAGAGCTAGGTGTGAGAGCCCTCCAGAGAGGCCGTGTGGCCTTGCTGCTCCACGTTTCGCCCGTCTGGTCCCAGTCGGGCCCCGTGCCCCAGGCTTGCTCGCGCTCCCGGGCCTCATCTGCATCGGCTGGGCCTGGGCGGCTTCGTGGTGCCAGCGACCCTCAGACCTCTCCCTGTCCTTGTGCTGCCCTCCCCTTGCAGATGTGAAGACTCTGGAGGAGGGCGGCTTCCCGAGTGTGGCCCACGCTTCAGGCCCTGAAGCCCGCTGCGCTGCCCTCCGGGAGGAGTTCTTGGCTTTCCGGCGCCGCCGAGATGCCACTAGGGCCCGGTTATTGGTCTACAGACAGCCAGCCCCCCACCCTGAACAGGCCACTCTGCTGTGAAGGCTGGGTGACGGCGCACAGGCCCTGCACGTGAGGGCCCAACAAGACCCAGCTCCGGCCTGGGACGCTGCTTCTGCCCCTTTGGTGCCCAGGCATAGCCCCTGATGGTGGGCAGGGGTGGGCTTGGTATGAGATGTCTGTGCTGGGCCCCTAGAGCCTGGGGACTGGAACAGGGATCTTAGGTCTGCCCGTGTGTGTGTGTGTGTGTTGATAGTGATGGTGTTTGTGGTGTGGGTGAGGTTTTTTACAGGTGAATAAAGAAAGTCTGAAAAATGTTTCTGTGTGTCTTTTGCCTTTGAATCTGAGAGGGAGGTAGGAAAATCCCTGAACCCTTAAAAAGGAGGGGACTCTTCCTGAATGAACAGAGGTTCATTCAACATCCTTGTAGAAAGCGTTTATTGAGTGCCTACTGAGGTCAGCTACTAAGACCAGCCATTGAGTTAGATGCTGAGAAAACAAAGTTCACTAAGTCAAGCCTTTGCCCTTGGCAAGTTCCTTCTAGTCCGTGAAGCAGGCAAAGGGACAGTTACAGTGTGATGTGATAAGTTCTGTGATAAAGCTATGTGTTGCATATTGTGGTCTCACAAAGGAAGGCGTCAGCAATGAGTGCTTACAGCATGTGCTGGGACAGCGCTACCTATGGGGGGTCTTCATGGAGTCGGGGTAACAGCAATAGTGAGCAGCTGAGCCCCCACTTGTGCCAGGGATGACTTTAAGCTCCTTACACCTTACATTTTCCACCACTCTGAGGTAGGTAGAATGCCTGGCTCCATTTTCTAGACTGGGGAACTGAAGCATAGAGGCTTTAGGAATTTGTCCAGAGGTCACACAGCGGGTATGGAGTAGGGTAGGTCAGAAGTTGGTCAAAAGAGGGAAAGCACCCCAGGCAGAAGGCACAGAGGAGTGAAAACACTTGGTCTCCTGGGGACTCACTTGGTCCTGGATTGTAAGATTGGGGAAGAGGGGATGGTGAGGTGGACAGTGGACACTGGTGGTTGATGTCCTTGGAAACCAAGCTAAACCATAGCTTCTACCAAACAGGAAGAACCCCACTGTCTGATGAAGGCAGGGACTCCGCCCGAGGGGCATAGCTCAGGAGAAACCTGAAGAGGGGTGCTCCTTCCACCCCTAAACTATGCTCCTCTCCACCCTCAGACACTGAACTGCCAACCTCCTTCTCCCCTGAGGCCTCCTCCCTGACCTGGCATCTCTGAACCCTGGGTCCCAGTGCTGATCACACCCCTTGGGCCCTGGGCAAAGAGTGACCTCACTGTGAGTTCCTGCCCAGGCCTGAAGAAGGCGAGAACAGGAGCACGTGCGTGCGGGTACTGCCCTGGCCTGCAGCCCTAGCTCTGTCACACCCTAGTCACTTGGGGGGCGGGGAGGGTCTTCCTGTGCTTCCGTTTACCTAACCACCCTTTTTAAATCAAGAGGCCTCATCTCGCATAAACACGACCATGGTCTTGAGCTAACCTTCCAGGCAAAAAGCTTCCCACCAAGGCGTAAGTTTAAGAGCTCCGGGGTGGAGGCCAGTATACTGTGGCCCGGACTCCCCAGATCCTTTCGCCCAGGCGCCCGCCCACCGCCCCCCTCCCCAAAGCTCTGCCCTTCGCTCCCGCGCTGTGGCGCCTTTAAAGCCTCTGGGCGCTCGCCCCGCCCCGGGTCCGCCCCGTCCAAGGCGGGATCCCGCTGAAAACCCCCCGGCCCGGGCCGGGCGCGCCACTCGGCCCGCAGCAGCTGCCAGGAGTGTGCCGCACCGGCCCGCCAACGGTGAGCAGGGGGAGGGCGGGGGGCGCGCCCCCAGGAAGCGGGAGGCCAGCGCTGGCGACTTGCTCCCCGGATGGGGCGAGGGTCCGGCGACCGCTCTGCTCGCCCCGTGCTGTCGGGTCCTGTCCCCAAGCCCCGACCCGGCATTGCTGGGCGATGAGGTCAGCCGAGGTGGCGGGAGCACGGACGGGGCGTCCATCCAGAGCGGGGGCCGGGGGGGGGGGGACTCGGCCTTCGGGGGAGAGGATCGGCGGGCGTCGGGGCTTGGCTTGGCGTGCCCCGAGGGCGGGCGCGCCCTCGGAGCTTCCCCGCGACCCTCACTTCCGGGTCCCAGGAGCACGTGCGGGAGATGCCCGCGTTCCGCGGCCCGGAGGCCGCCCTTTCCGTTCCCCTTCCCGCCGCTGTCCCGCTGGCGAGTCGGGGTCACGGGCTGGGGAGGACAGTCCCCCGACCTCGGGCTCCGGGGGCTGCCGCCCGCGCTGGCGGGCGGTGTGGGGAGGGGGCTGCTTGCGGGCGATCCTGCCCCCGCGCCCGCCGGGGCCCCCACCCCGCGCCCCCTACTGCTGGGAAAGCCGGCGGGGGCTGCGGGCGGGCGGGCTGCCCAGACCACTGCGTCACCCCAGCGGCGGGCGGTGGGTGACTCATCCGCCTGTAACGGCCCAGGGTGTGGCGAGGCGGGGCGGCGGGGCCGGACCTGCAGGACCGGAAGTGGACGGCCGCCTTCCCGGCCCTGCAGGCCCCCTGGAGCCTCCTGGAGCCCGTGCCCGGGGAGTTCTGGGGCAGCCTGGCATCTGGGAGCAGAAAGCGTGGCGGGATTGGAGGGTGGGGGTGGGGGTGGTGGAAGTCCCGGGTACGGGGAGCCCTGTGGCTTGGCTGGGCTCTCCCTAGTTCTGACTCCAGAGCACCAGTCGGAGGGACAGCTCCCCCTCTCCAGCGCCCCTCCCGATTTCTCCTTCCTCGTCCCGCGCGCGGGGAGACCTACAACCGCAGAGGAGGCCGGGGTAGCGTGGGGCTGCGGGGCCCGGCCCTGCGGGAGGCTACCGGTAGTCTTTGTCCGACTGCAGCCCCCCTCCAGCGCCCCAGCCCTCCTCTGCCCCCTGGATTGGCTTCGAATCCTTCCTTCGCCCCAGCCCTTCTCGCTCCAGGATTTTCAGGGAGCGGGCTCTCTAACTCCGAGCACACCCTCCGTTCGCAGAGCATTTCTTCTCCTGAACTATTCTTGAGCCCGCTTCTCTACCCCCAAACTTGCAACTTCCCACGCCTTCAAACGCCCTCAGCCTCCGCCGCTGCCCCCCAGAGGGATCCCTCGCACCTGCCTGCACCTGGGAACTGCCGGGGGTGGGGGGGTTGCTTTTTCCACGGAGGCCGCCTCTGGCCCCGGTGCACGGAGCCTCTTCACCACTGCATGTGTGTTGAGTGCGTGTTTCTTCCCGGTGCCCCCACCCTGCCTGGTTCCTGTGTTTGGTACACAGAAGCCATGGCAACGGCCCCACCTCACCCCTCCTCCCGCAAGCCTTGCGACTTCCTGTTTGTGCCGCTTCAGCTTTCTCTTCTGCTCGCTGACTTGATGGTGAGGGGCTGCCCCCCGGGTGGCTCCTCGGTCACAGGTGTCCACCCCCCTTGCCCTGCCTGCCCCCTCTGCACTTCACTTTGGGGGCAGGGGCCCCCACTGGCTCGTTCAGAATAGCCCTAAGCCCGATTCTGACTTGGGAAGGTCCCCTGCGAACTGTGTGCACAATGAATGGGGAGTCTCTTTGTCTTCCCCTGTGACACATCCCCGGGCCCCAGCCACCCCAGCCACCCCAGCCACCCCAGCCGGGGACCCTTGCCCTTGACATCTGCGTGGGGTGGGGCGAGGTGAGCGTCCTGCTCAGGGTCTGGGGGAGGCCTTCCCCCTTCCCGGACCATTGTAACCTTGTGGATGGGGGTGAGGGCTCCCACGGCTGCAGGCAGCTCTGGCTTGGGTAACCCCCCCCCCCCACTCCCCACCAAGTGGTTCAGCTTTTGTCTTCTCTTCGGATCCCCAGCCCTGGGCATCTCCTACACAGCTCCCCACCCCAGCAGGCACCTGGCCCTCTTCCCTTCCTTTGAGGGAGGGCTGCAGAAGGTCCCCTGGGTGTCACGAGGGTGGGCCACCCCAGCACCAGCACACCAGCCACCGCCAGTCAGCTTGCGCCTGAGAAAACCCTGCAGGCAAGCTGGCCAGGCCTCCCCTTCCCGGATCTCTGCCCCACAGCTCTGGCACCTCTGGGCTCCAGGGCAGTGGCCCCCAAGTGGAGCCGAGATGCTGCAGCTGGAGGCTGTGACACGGCCAGCTGTGTTCAGGCTCCAGAGTGGGGGCAGGGCCCCCAGCACCTTCCCGGAGCCCGGAGCTGGGGCTGGGAGGCCAAGTCTGTTCTGCCCCTGGGGTGGGGGGGGGGCGCTTCAGACTTGCTCTCCCCTACTGACCCTGGTGTCTGGGTTCATGATTCTTCTGCCCTTTCTCTCCCTGGGCCATCGTGATCCCTTGGCCTTAGGCCACTTGGCTCCAAGGAGACACAGCCCTGGGGCCCAGGGGATCCTAGTGAAACTGCTTCCAGAAGAGAGGTCTGGACATTGGGTTGGGAAAAGGGGGCTTACTGGTGGCTTCCGCCCCGTCCTCCCCCTTTCCCTCCAGGTCTCCCAGCCATGCCCCTGTGTGTCAGGGGCCCCGGGCTGAGATGGAGCGAGTGGTGGCTGAGCTGCTGGGCCTGGGCTGGCAGGAGAGAATCTTGTCCCCCTTGCTCTGCAGGCCTCGGCTGCTCTCTGCTTGCCCTCCGCCAGCCGAGAGTGTGTGCGCCTGGTGGTGTGGGTCAAGGCCCGGACCGACATTTATCTGGGCCAGTCTTCAGGCTGGGGGGAAGTGAGGGTGGGCTGCTCTTAATGAGGCATAAAAATAACTGATTTAGGGGGAGGATCCGCTGCCGGAAATGTGCTGCTGGATAAGCAGGCGTAGAAAGAAGCCGCGCTGTTGGAGTGTGGGGGAGGGGACCGGCCTGAGACCAAAGGCTGAGAGCAGGAGAGGTTTGAGGCGGCTCTGCCCCACGCCTGGCTCGTCTGCTGAGCCCCGAGGCCCACGGAGGGGGTGGCAGGATTGTGGAACCTGGGGTGTCTGGCAGAGAGCGAGACAGAGTGACTTCATCCCTTCCGTCTGACCTGGCCTGGAGCCAGGTGTGGGCAGTAGGAGTGTCTCCCCTCGCTCTCCTTGCACACAGGTGCCTGTTCTGGGGGATCCCCCGGTCTGAGCGGCAGACAGCTAGCTGGATCTCACAGTGGAAAGGGAAGCTCATCTGCAGAGGGGTGGGGACAGGGAGTGAGGTCCTGTCCCTTCTGTGGCCCTGGTTCCCCCTCCCCGCCCCCAGCATGGGTAGCATTCCTGGGACTTGTCAACAGGGTCCCGGAAGCGGGACGGAGGCAGTGAGGTGGGAGGTGGGGACAGACTGCCCCTGGGCCGGCGGTCTGGAAACCACCCACTTCTTCCCAGCACAGGTTCTCAAATGAAGTTAAATCCTCCCGTGTGTTTCCCCAACTCTCCCTCCCCTCCAAAGTTTCCCTAAAAATACCACCCACACTCCTGGGTTAGTTCCCTATTCCTGCTATAACAAATTAGTACAAATTTAGTGACTTAAAGCCACACACATTTCACATGGTGCAGTTGTCGAGACCTCAGCAGAGGTTAAAATCCTCAGCAGGGCTGCCTTCCTTCTTGTGGAGTTTAGGGGAGAACCCCTTCCCTTGCCTTTCCCAGCCTCTGGAGGCACCTGCATGGCTCTCCCCTGACTCTGCTTTCTTCTTGCTTCTCCCGCTCTGACTTGCCTGCCTCCCTCCCTCGCTTGTAAAGCCCCTCGCTGTGAGGACACTGGGCCCTCTTGGATGATCCGGCATACTCTCCCTGTGTCAAGACCCTTCGTTCTGCCCCATCTGCAAAGGCCTTTTTTGCTATGTAACATTCACAGGCTCTGGGGCTTAGGATGTAGACACCTTTGGGCGGCACCATTATTCTGCCTACCATAGCTTCTGGAAGGGGAGGTAGGATTGGTTTTGATTGCCTGGTTTCTCATGGGAAGTTCCTTTTGTCTGCGGAAATCTTTTAAGGGCCTACTCAGACCTCCTCTTCCAGGAAGCCTTCCGGGGTGCTTCTGCCCACACTCCTCTCTGCGTTTCTGTGACCTAGGGTCTGACTGCCGACTTGTACAGTAGTCACCATGGACAAGCCTTACCCTTTCCTGGGTGCTCTCTTTGTCTCTCTGTTGGCATTCTAGGACCAAGAACTTTTTTCTCTTCCACAGTCGCCAGCACAGAGAGTGGGTGCTCAGTTAAACCCAGAGGCTGACTGAGGGTGGGTGCGTCTAGTTCTCTAGCTCCTGGAAGAAGTTTCCCTAGCCCCTTTTCCTCCTCTCCCCCAGTCCTCCTCCTTCCCAGGGCTGGGGTTAGAATGACCAGTTGGCCTTTGCTAAAGCTAACCACCCCAAATGAGGGGCTGAACCCTCATTTACCCCATATTCTATTCCGGTGGGTTTTCTATTTCATTCTAGTAGTGGGGCCATTCAAATGAAGCCTAATGGCAGGACTCAGTAACAGTCCGCCTGTTGTAGGGGTGGGAGAACCCAGAGATGGCCTGTATGGACCCTTAACCCCAGAGCTCTGAGCAGTGTTATTTCAGCCCGTGCTCCGGAGTCAGGGTGAGAGTCCCCTCATTTGACAGTGGGTCCCACCCTGGGGATGTGGAGTGTGTCCCTGCAGGCTGCAGCGTGCTGACTGTGGGCCCGGCCGTGTCCTCTCCCCAGAGCTCCACAGCCACCGCTGCCCTTGGGAATGGCCAACAGGGGACCTGCCTACGGCCTGAGCCGGGAGGTGCAGCAGAAGATCGAGAAACAGTACGACGCGGACCTGGAGCAGATCCTGATCCAGTGGATCACCACCCAGTGCCGCAAGGATGTGGGCCGGCCCCAGCCTGGGCGCGAGAACTTCCAGAACTGGCTTAAGGATGGCACGGTGAGAGCTGAGCACTTCTGACTGGAAGCGCAGGGAGCAGTGGGGGGGCCGGGGGGCCCTGGACTTGTTCTGCTTCTTCCTTCTGAGCCTGGGTATCTATCCCGCAGAGGACTCACAGAGTGAAAGGGGAGGCCCTGGGGGACACAAGGAGGAATAGCTCCAAGGAAAGAACCATGGGAGGGTGTGTTCTAGAACACTCTGGGCTACACCAAAACAAATGATGTAATATATGGTGATTAACATAACAATAAAAAATTAAAAAAAAAAAGAATAGAACACTCTGGGCTCGGGCAGGAGGGGGCCCGGGGCTCACTCCAGGTAGAGTAGGAGTTGCCTTCAGGCAGGACAGGAACCTCGGGGGCTCACTGTCTCCGGGGCCAGCATGGCCTCACCTCTGCACACCTGCTGCCCTCGCCCAGGTGCTGTGTGAGCTCATCAATGGGCTGTACCCCGAGGGACAGGCCCCAGTGAAGAAGATCCAGGCCTCCACTATGGCCTTCAAGCAGATGGAGCAGATCTCTCAGTTCCTGCAGGCGGCCGAGCGCTATGGCATCAACACCACTGACATCTTCCAGACTGTGGACCTCTGGGAAGGTGGGTCAGGGCCAGGGCACTGTCACCCAGAAGACCAGAGACCCGGCCGGGCCATCTTGCCCAGGAGGAGGGGGCAGGTTTCTGGCACCCTGAGGACAAAGAGCGGTTGTGTGTGTGTATTTCATGGAGGAAGGGGCCGTGTCGGGGGGTGGGGTGGAGGAGGGTATGAGGACAAAGGGAATTAGGAAGCCAGGCTTGCTGACCTAGGTGGTAGAGGTGGGACCCTGGCCCCCAGGACCCCAGTGCTGCCGAGGCCAACACAGCCCCTCCCCCTTCCCAGGAAAGAACATGGCCTGTGTGCAGAGGACGCTGATGAACCTGGGTGGACTGGCGGTAGCCCGGGATGATGGGCTTTTCTCTGGGGATCCCAACTGGTTTCCTAAGTGAGTATGGCAGGGTGGCCCAGGCCTGTCCCTGTCCCAAGCAAACGGTCCCGCACAAGGCACTTTCCCGTCCCTCATCTCCCTGAGTCCTCGCAACTCTCCTGGGATGGCAAGGGACTGTCCCTTTTGAGACACGAAGAGGTGGCTTGAGAGAGCTCAAGGCCTCTCAAGGGCAGAGTGGACACTGGCCCCCGAGTCCCCAGCGAAGCCTTGCCCGGTCCGGGGAAGACACGCCCTGGGGCAGCCTCCAGCCTCTTCCTCACCAGCGCTCCCTTTCCACCCAGGAAGTCTAAGGAGAACCCTCGGAACTTCTCGGACAACCAGCTGCAAGAGGGCAAGAACGTCATTGGGTTGCAGATGGGCACCAACCGTGGGGCGTCCCAGGCCGGCATGACCGGCTATGGGATGCCCCGCCAGATCCTCTGATCCCACCCCAGCCCTGTTCCTGCCTTCCCACGAATGGTTAATATATATATATATATTTTTTAGCAGTGACATTCCCTGAGAGCCCCTGGGGCTCTCAGACTCCCCTCGGCCGGGGTGGGGGCCTGGCCTGGCCGGCCTTCTCTGGGGGTGTCCGATGGCAGGCTCTCCCCCGTGCTTACTAATACATTCCCTTCTTTAAACCCACCAAAACTGGACCAACGGGCCTCTTTTCTCCTGGGACCAAAATTTGGGGGCCTTGCCACCCCCTACCCTCATACCTCTTCTCTTTCCCTTTGGCTTCTTTTCCCCCTGAGCTCTGCCCTCAATCCATTCCTTGGCTGGGGGTCAGGGACCCTGCCTTCTGGCCTTGCTTCCACAAGTAGGCCTCGCCCCTAGCTGTGGCTGCAGGACTTAATTTATAGGGAGAGGCCTGTGGCGACTGCCACCCCAGCCACAGCCGGGCTGTGCTCACCACACATCAAGGCAGCCTGCGCCTGGCAGGGGCTCGCTCAGCTTCCCATTTTCCATTTCCCTTGCTGTGGCTAAGGAGTGGGGGTGAGGGGACAGGGAGGGAGGGCTGCCCACCATGGGCTGGGGCTCAAAAAACCTGAGTTTGCTGATTTCAATAAATCTCTTGTCTTTTTTGGATGGTCTCTGGCTGTGTCTGGGGCCATGAGCCCTCCACTGGGAAGGGAGGAATGTGGGGGGCAGTACCGTGACTGGTGGTGCGGGAGAGAGGGCTTTCAGATGAAAGGCTGCAGTCCTCACACCCATTTTCCGAGTTCCTTCCCTCTCCTCTTCCTCCCCGGCTTTAAGGGAGGGGAGGGTGGCTTGAGGACAGTTGCCGTTGGGCCAGGGGCCGTAATGCAGGAGATGTGGGCAGAGTCCACACACCAGCCTAGGACTTGGGCATCCCACCTGGTGCTCCTGGCTGGGCCCCTCTCCCAGCCAGAACAGCTTCTTCGCCGCGGCAGGAGGGTGGGGCTGGCTGCTGGCCCTGCCCTGAGTCCTGGCCAGTCTCGGCGGGAGGCCCCTCAGGCTGGCCTGGGGCAAGGTGGCCCCTGTTGGAGTTGGCCACACCAGCTTGGGGGCCAGGGGCCGGGGGCCAGGGGGGCAGTGGTGGGGAGGAATTGCCAGGCTGCGAGGGAGCAGGAGGGAGTTGGTGGTGGTGGCTGGAGGGAGGAGGCCCTGTTGAGGGATCCCACGCCCTTGGGAGCGCAGAGGAGAGAACTTGACTTCTGGGCAGGTGGCCTTGTACCAAGAAAATCAATTTTGGGGTCAGGTTGTCCAGAGCTCGCCCTGACCGAGGCATGAATGTTGCCCCCCTCATTTCCAACTCCTAGGTGTCACCTTGACTCCATGGCCTCCCCATCAGACCCTGGGAGGACTGGACAGACCCTGGACCAGCCCCCCACACCAAGCTCCCCCCTACCCTCTTTCTGCTTCAGCGCCTGTTTCCTTAGGAGGGCAGAGCCCCAGCGTCGTGCCTGAGGGGGACAGATTAGGACCGGGTTGCTAACCAGAGAGCTTTAATTCTCTCTTCTCCCACTGCCTCACTGGGGCTCCCTCTGCCAAGGAGCGCCTACCGGGCCGGGCTGTCTGTGGAAGGTCAGCTGGAAGGCTCAGCGGGGATCTTGGGGGATCCTGACGTGACCCCACAGGAGGGATGGAATTTGCTGCCCTCCCTCGGGCTGGGGCACAGATAAAATAGGCTGGTGCCTCTATGCAAATTCCCACGGGTTAGCTGTCATTCTGCCCCGTTATCTCTGGCTCTGGGAGGCTTGCGGGACACCGGAGAGGGAGAGTGATGTCATTGCACAGAAAACCTTGAATTCGCTAATTGTTATACGAGAACACCGAACCATTTGCACCCTTCCCTGATTTAACCATTTGCAGCTACAGATTGCGGGCCATGTGCCTCACAACTTTCTGAGACACTCAGCTTGTTCCAGAGCCTAGACTGAGACCCCCCTGGCTTCCCCCAGTGGATTCCCACAGTAGTCCACGAGGTGCACAGCACTGTGTTCTTTCCCCCATTTTGGCCCCACATGAGCACACCGGGTTTCGGCATCCCACGGCCACGTCGGGAGTAAAGGGATGTGGGGGCCGTGGGGGCCCCTCGTCTGAAAGCTAGAGATACTGGCTCCTTCCTCCCGGTGCCGTGAGGACTGTGCCAGCCCTGTGCAGAGAGCACGGTCCCTCGCCTGCAAGTGCTCCAGAGACGGACGTGTGGGGTGCAGCAGGGTTTGTGTGGATGCCTCGTGGGGAGAGAGGTGATGCTCAGATGCTTCAGGCAGCAGCCGGATCCCCCACCCCGGGAGGAACTGGCTCTTCAAGGCAAACTCGCTGGGATTGGACAAGTGCTTGATTAGGGGGCACGCCTTGCTTCTCTCTGGCTGGGCCGCCACCCCCCGTAGGCTCTGTGAGCCGTCTCCACGGCTCCCCGCAATCCACCTGGCCGCAGCTTCAGCAGATTCCTTCTGGAAATGGCCTGCACCGACACCTCAGAATCTGCTTAGTGTTTTCGTCCCATCGGAGGCCACAGTTTTGCACCGAATCTGGCCTCTTTCACCTTTCCTGGCCTCACGCCCTTCGGAGTCCTAGGGGGGGTGGGGGGTGGGGGGGGGGCAGGAGCTCCTCTGTGTGGCACCTCGCTCTCTATGGCTCCCTGCACTGGTGTCTCCTGACGCCCTACCTGCAGGACAGTCCCTGCTGCCAGGGGCCCTGTCCCCTCCAGGTCTCACCGCGGTCTGTCCTTTAAGTCTGTTCAAAGGTTACCTTCTGAGTAAGGCCTTCCCTGGCCGGCCTACTTAACGTTGCACATTCCACCCTCGGCCTGCTCCCCGTTCTCCTACCCTGCTTTCTCGTATCACCACCTGACCTGCAGTGTATTTTACTTATTTATTTTCTGTCTCCACCCACAGAAAGTACACTCTTTAAGGGCAGGTTTGTGTTGGTTTTGTTGATGTGGCGAGGTGCCCGGCATGTTGTAGGTGCTGGGTAAATATTTGTCGAACAAATGAATGAATATCACCCCACTCTCGTGTTCCTGAATCCCCTGGCCCAGTGACACGGTGCCCAGCCAGGCCAGGCGCTCAGCAAGCCAGCCTGTCATTGGGTCTGAGTTGGAACCAGCTCATCTGTCAGCTTCCTTCCGATGCTCCCTCATTGTCCATTTCCAGCAGGTGAAAACCTGAGACACCAGGGCTCCGCACGGCCAGAAGTGGGGTCGGGGAGGGGACAGAGAGCTGTGTGTGTGCCGGGCAAATGGAAGGCACACTGAGGATTTGGGAGACGACATGGGAGTAGGGCGGGGAAGAGGGAGGAGCCAACTTTGGTTCACTTACCCCTCGCCTTCAGCCTTGAAGTGCGAAATTGCTGCGGAGGTGGAGAAAAAGTAGGTTCGGCTCCTTGTGGCCCAATGGAAAGAATTGGAGTAGGAAGGCAGGGAGAGGTAGGGGGAGGCGGAGCGGGGAGGAGGAAGAGGAAGAGGGCCCCTGGTGCTCAGCCTAGCTCGGCTTACCCTTGGGGAAAAAGCATAGGTCCGTGTGGTCCCTTCCTGTGGGTGTGTGTCCAGGTGTGCGAGAATTCGCAGGGCTAGGGCTCAGCAGGTGGTAGCAGAGGAATCTGCGACCGAGTGTGGAGGCCGCCTAGGAGCATGTTTGCCAAGGAGCGGGAATTATGGGCGCAGCGAGGTGTGCGTCCGGTGTGCGTAGGCAGGATGTAAGCATCTGTGAGTTTGCACATGGCTCCGTGGAGAACAATATGTCCCATTCCTGCCTTTACAGCCGGGGGAGGCCTTGGAGAGCTTGGCAAAAGGCCCAAGGAGCAGCAGAACAGGGAAAAGCCTGGGCAATAGGGCCCTAGGGAGGGAAGTATAAAGGGTCTGGGATTAAATTTGTTGAAGAGAAGCCTAAAGAGTAAGTTAGTAACTGTCTCCATGCAAAGAAATGAGTTTTAGTCCCAGTGGCCAAGAGGTGGATTAAAAGAAAAATGCACTGAAGTTGCATCTAGAAAAATTTAGGTTACGCAAGGAAAAATGATCCTCTTGACTCTGAAGGTTATTAGCCTCTGGCATCTCTTAAGGATCAAGAGGAATGTTTTCAGTAATAGGACAGATCCCATCTTCTTAAGGTAGAAAAGGGGCAGTTCTGCTTGGGAATGCATATACATACACCCAGTTGTTTTTTTTTTTTTTTTTTTTTTTTAATTCAGGTGTTCGTTCGTTCAACACTTATTGGGGTTCTCTATGTCAGGCCTTACGGGGGAGACGAAGATCACTACTACCTGATCTCTTTGCTCAAAGAGCACATAGTCCTGCAGGGGCGATCAAACAGATTCGAGCCGAGTCTCCATCATTCAGGAAGCGCCTTCGGAAAAATGCAAACAGGGCTCTTTGGGGGGATCACTTGCCGACCTCCAGCAGCCCTGGGTCATTTCTGCAGTGGAGGCTGGTGGTGATGTCGTGCGGAGCTGAGGCTGCATACCTCAGGAATCAGCTCAGGGGAGTGGGGCTGCTGGTTGGGGGCTGGGGGGCTCCTCCGGGAAAAGGAACAGTTACTTGCTCTGTGGTCAGAGGTCAACTTTCAGTGGGGGGTGAGGGGCTGTTCCCTTCCATCCAGGAGTTGGGGGTGGGCAAAGAGGCCTGAGTTGGGGTGAGAGCCAGGGACTGGGTAGGGACAGATCAAGGACACAGGAGTTCTGAGTTGTGTTTCCATGAGAGAAGCGAGAAAGTGTGGCTCAGTGCGGGCTGGGCCATAATGGTGGGGATGAGGAGATTCGTGTCCACTTTCTGCTGGTCACTGCGCTAGGAGCTTTATCCGTAGTTTGTGTTTCTTCTTTACTTATTCAACAAATGTTTCTCTCTTTTTTTTAAGATTTTATTTATTTATTAGGGAGAGCACAAGCATAAGCAGGGGGAGGGGCAGAGGGACAGGAAGACCCCCGGCTGAGCGGGGAGCCTGTTGCGGGGCTTGATCCCAGGACCCTGAGATCACAACGCCAGCGGGTCACTTAACCAACCTGACCGAGCCACCCAGGCACCCCTCAACAAGTAGTTCTTGAGCACCCATTCAGGGTAAGGTATCTGCTGGGTGCTGGGGGATATAGCATCAGCAAGACAAGTAGAGTTTTTGCCCTCCTGGGAGGAGCTAGAAAAGCAAAGGGCCAGTTATAATGTGATTTGGGGGGGTCGTAAGGGGAGCGTAGGTGCTAAGGGATCCCGCAGGAGGGGACTCAACCCAGCCTGGTGGGGAGGGCATCAGTAAGGATCTCTGAAAGATGCTGAAGTCTGAGCTGGGCATTTAAGGACGGTTAGACGTGTGAAGACGTGGCCTGTGGTGGTGAGGAGAGTGTTCCAGGCAGGAGCGTGGCATGGGCATGGCCTGGAGGTGAGAATGTGCAGAACCGGACTGTAGAGAGCCAGCTTACAGGCTGAGAATGCAGTTGAGAAGGACGTCAGGACCAGCTCTTCCAAGGAGCTTCAAAGTCAAATGAAAGATTTTGGACATTTCATTAAGGGCTTGGGGCACTACTGAGGAATTTTAAGCAGGGGGCTGGAGAGATGAGAGTTGTGTCTTATTTAGAAAACTTCCCTGGGCGGTAGGGCAGAGCAGGGCCTGGGGTTGGGAAGACTCCGGAGGCAG